TCCCCATTCATCAAATATTGTATAATCTAATTAAAATTCTAACCCCCTGTAAGGTTTTAATTTCTTGCTAAAGCAGTTGACCATATGGTTCAACATAATAAAAATAAGAACACCTTGAAAGGAATGACGAAAATGTCATCAAAGTTAACAGAGAAGATGGAAAAAAACCTCTCACATTATATTGGCTAATTTTCAAAAGTGCAATTCCTTTTTAGTGTTTCTGACCAAAGAGAAAATTCACTTGACAAACTTCATATCATGGTACTGCATTTATCTAAAGATCAAGCTCGATGTCATTTATTCTCTGGAACATACTGACCTTCACTCTGGATTTAAGAACAACAGATATGTCTGTTTACATTGATTTGCTAGGAGAGGCTCTTGGGCCCTCATGATTAGAAGCACACTGAACTAGAAATAAGGCTACGAAGAACAGAATTCTGTCAAAGGTAATTTCTCTTACCTAATTTTTTACTGTGTAATACCAGAATTTTGGCTATTATATAAGCTCTCCCTGGTCTGCATATAAAAAGACTTCCTGTGGTTCTTCAGGACTTTAGGAAGACAGAAAAAGGTCTGGGGGAACAGCCTGAGCCCATCCTCCATGGAGGTCCATGACCAGCTCACATTTCGCAAAGGACCTTCTAGGATGCCCGGTGGGTCTTACTACCAAGGTCCTGTCCCCTTCAACTAGGATCCAGCACTGGCCGCTGCCTGAACAGGTCTGCTGAGGAAAAGCTGCTTCCTGGACCCGAATCCTCCTGTGGGTGTTGGGTGTCCACAGTGTTGTCATTCCCCATGCTCTGGCGCTCGTGGAGGTGTCCACTGTTGGCTTCAGGGCTCTTTTCTAAGTCTCATTCTTCTACGTTTGCTCAAGACCATGTTTTTGAGTTTGAGTTTTTCTTTCTTATCCTCCGAGTTGCTGCCTAGTGCTACAGTTCTCTTTCTTACCTGAACATATTGGGAATGTGGGGTACAGCTCACAGCAATTCTGCCCCGCTGGCTGTACCTTCTCGGTGCATTGGTGTCCAAGGAAGGGACATGTAAGTCTTTTGGACAGAAGATTATTTCCCTAGCTGGTATAATATGAAACATCTTCCAAGCAGCAGTAACTCTTGACATAACAGTTTAACAATTTCATACCAGATAAGTCTGGATTGCAGTTTGGTCTGAGACTGTTTGTTTTACATACTTTTGTGGTAAACTCTGTTAATTGGCAGCACAAGCCAATTGGAAGGTGATTATAGCTAAATAGCAAAATATAATGCTAATTATCTCTTTTTGATTATAAGATATAGTTAAGCACTTCTGTCAACTGTAAAGTGGTTTTAATAGAAGAAGGATAAAAATCAGTTTTCTGGAAAATTAATGGAAATGAAATTATTTGCTTTTCTAGAATTTAGAATAAATGAAAAGTAAAATATACAGAAGTCATGAACCTCATAATAACGTCCTTGAAGGTCAAAGTAATTCGAAAAGCACTTAACTAAAGATAAGCTCAATTTCTTCCCCTCTCCTCACACTCTCACATGTAAGATATTGAGCCTTCTGGGCAAATTTCTGATGATGCATCAGTGCATAAAATTAATGAAAAACCAGGCAAACTTGTAGAAAATTTATTTATGTTCAACCTGTGAAATGTAAGATAGTTCCCGTGAAGCAGAATATTCATATTCTCTGTCTCTGTCTCTGTTTTTGTGCACACTCCAAATTGGGTTTGGATTTATTAGTGTGCAAAATAATGACTTCTAGCAGTGTAGTGATGGCCTCTGAGTCTTCACTGAACCAGCAAGTCCCCTGCTGAGGCTGGAGAACACTGGGTCTAGGGCCAGGTACGCTCCTTGGTTTCGGAAGCCTGCCTTTCTTCCTACCTTGACAGAGGCAGATTGCCAGGTAGCCCCAGGTCAATGTCATACTTGGCCCTCGGTGGTAAAGGAGCCCCAGGCTAACTGAGGTTGGTCCAAAGTGTGGGCACTCTATGGCTGTGATTCCTAACGAGGGGTCAGGCAGCCAACTGGTCCTGGGTAGCTTCCGGCAGTCACAGATCAGGTTGAGTTCCTGCTGTCTTCCAGTGCATCTGCGGGAGTAGGGGAAGAGCAACAGGCACTGCTGTTGTGGGAACTGGGACCTAGGGGAGTCACGGGTTCTAACCCAGCCACAAAGACTGAAATGAAAGTGAATCTAGTGTTCTCCATGGGAAAAGAAGTTTAGCAGAAAAATCCAATCTTGCTGGGCCGTTAGGGCCACCTGATTTATCACGTGAGAATATGTTACAAAGTGGTTCACTCCCTGGTGAGAAAGGCATTCATCCATAGCAGTTCTTCCACTGTTTGCTTTCACAGGTTGTCCAGGTTGTCTTTGCTTTAGCTTCTGAATACAAAGTAGAAATGATTGTATGGATGAGGTTACTGTGAAAAAAGCATGTTGAGTACCTGACAAATAAAATAAGATACAGCCAGGGACTATGTTCAATTCATTTTTACTTCCCCAACATTTAACCCAGCCCTTTGCAGTCACTTGGAGATTCTTTTTGTTGATTGGATGAAAACTTTGTAGTCCGTGATGGTATTGACAAACTTTATGGACAATTACTTGAGGGGACGGAACACTTTGCTGTGAACACTGTCGAATTAGTTATGTGAAGTGATTTCCCTCAGGATGTGACATAGAATATCGTGTTAACAGTTTCTTTTTATAGAGAGGGCTTACTGTAATCCAAGACCAGCCTGCACTTGTATGCTGGTGCTACTCCACTGATAGGGTGGGGGCTTGACCCATCAGAGATTAAATGTGATGGCCATGTGTCTTTCCCATGTCCTCAGGATCAGCTTTCTGAAGGCTCCGTGCAGAGTTTCAGAGGAGAGCTTTTTTTTCATGTAGTAAGTAATTATCAGGGACCTGGCCATGTATGGGGTACTTCTGAGAGGCTGCAGGACAGAGGAGGCTGTGGTTACAGCCCTCGATATACTTGTTTTCCAATAAGAGAGAGATGCAAGTACTTGTCACCATGATATGATACAGAAGTGTTAGGACTATAGGTTAGAGGAGAATCGAATCTCCCGACAGGAGGAATTAGGAGAGATGACAAATGAAGGAGGTGGGGTTTGAACTCCACTTTGAGGAATGAACAGGAATTTCTTGGGGGAGGGATAGGGGTGGAGAGACTATTCCAAGTGGAGACAAAAGCAAGAGGAGGAGGGAAAGGGTAGGTTGGATTTGGGAAACCGAGTTTACAAGAGCTTGCACTGGATGGGAAGGAGGCCCAGCCTGGAGACCCCTGATGTCATCCCAGGACTGTGATGGCTCTTGCCTTACTATCTTTTAATGTTATATAGTAACCACCACAGCTCTTCCTTTCCCAGGCAAATATAGCGGGGACAGAATAAGTTCTTTCACAGAGAAGCTGAAAGTTCTTAGAAAGTTTTCACTAGGTCATTTCCAATTGTTTTGGGTCCTCTTTTAATTCTCTTTCAATGGAAAAATGCAGTGATTAGTGAAGTAGTCAAAGGGTCAGATAACGTTTTGGCTCCAGTGTGGATAGCAGTCTCGGGATACTGTAGAATGTCACCCCTGGTTGATAAATGGGCTTAAAAACTAGAGATCAATTAGTCTCACTTCCCCCGTCAAAATAAACTGGATGTATTTCTGTTATGTGTGTTATACAGTTATGTCTGAATGCTCTACATTATTGATTTGCTTTAATGCTCTTAGACATGCCGTCTTGTTTGTTCTGAGGGTTTCATCTGATTACAAATACTCATCTTAAGTTAATATTTCATGAGACTCGATCATAACTTGAGGCTAGAAGTGATGGAAACCGTGGCTATTATTTTTAAAAAAAGACAATTATGCTACTCTCAGGGCAGTTTAGATTGAGAAACACAAACCCCTATTTGAGCACTAGTTCCATTTCCTTTATTTACCATCCCTGTGGACGATGATGAATTTTAACGTTTTCTTTTTTAAGTGCTTAATTATTTATTTTTAATAAAAAGTTATTGGGGGTGACATTGATTAATGAAGTCAAATGAGTTTCAAGTGTACAATTCAACAGCATGTCGCATATATATTGCACTATGTATTCACCACCCAAAGTTAGATTTCCTTTCGTCACCAAATACTTGACCCCTTTTACTCCTATCTATCCCCATTCCCTGTGGTAACTACGAATCCATAGTCCGTGTCCATGAGTCTCTATTTGTCATGTTTGTTTGTCACTTTCAGTTTTTATATCCCACATGTGAGTAAAATCATATAGCTTTCAACTTTTTCTGCCCCATTGCCCTCCAAAGCTCATATTAATACACTCATTTTATTGACTAACAGACATTTACAAAATGTTTATTATACCCCACACACTGATCTAAGTGAAAACTTTACAAATATTAGACATTTATTCTTCCTAACAGCCATA